ATAATGAATGGTTATTTTTTTTTAAAGGGCACATAATATGTATCATTGCCCCCTTATACTTCTGAGGAAACAGAAATTGAGTGATTCCAACTTATAGCACATAAACCTAGTTTTTAGACTCCTGATTCCTGGTTCTCTCCGCTATGCACACCTTGACAAAGTACGCAAAAACAGTCGCAGCCAACAGGTTTTGGAGTACCTCACTCCCTCTGTATCTCTGTTCTTCAAAACCTGCCTTCCAACAGCCGTTGTTGAAGAAGTTGGCTAGGAAGGCATGTTTATACCCTGTGGCACTTCTCCTGGACACAGCTGACTAAGCCAGGGCTGGGCACCAGATCTAAGGTCTGTCAATCCATTGGCTGGCCAGGAACCAATAGAATTCAAACATGAAATTTTGAACTCAGAGAACCAGAGGTCACTGTCAGCTGGTTACCTCCACTGAAAAGCCGTGCAGAGTCTCGTTCTGACAAACCCGCAGCAGCAGAGTGGGCTGCTGTTCTGAGTAAGCAGGAAGAGAAGCGAGCCTGGTCTGCCGCTAGACGAAAGCCAAAGCTCGGCTTTAAATCCGCACGGTACCAGAGAGAGACAGAGGCAGGAGAAGCTGCTTTGGCTGGTGTTGACTTTCTGGTTCTCAGTTCCCAGGCCCCGTGAGGCTGGGAGGGACTTCCCACCCTTGGGCCTAGTGAGATTTTCTTGCATTTTTTTCAATAATCTTCAGTGATCCTTTTAATAGCGAGCAAGTCTGAGTGGATGTGTGTCCAAGGCTTCGTCTGCTCACCTGTACAATTTCTCACTTGGATGGGCCAGCGGGGCTCCAAACTGCTGGCCGGCACCACGCTCTGGTCTGTGCTCCTATAGCTGTGTGCCTCGGGGAAGTGCAAGGGCTCCCAGCATTATCACACTGGTGCCAGGAAAGAAGCAGAGGCTCAGAGAAGGAAAGGCAGGAAAGGAATGAGCATCTGTTGACTCATATCCGCACATCCTTCCTTGGCCCCTAGTCCTGAGAGAGAAACAATCCTGGAACGTTGCATGCAGCTTTGCTCAACACAGAAATCAGAGCAACTGGGACCTTGCCATCACTACTCTGCCAGAACTTAGACCAGATTATGTATTGCCCTGGCCAGGTAGCTCAGTTGGTTAGAGCATCATCCCAGTAGGCCAAGGTTGCGAGTTTGATCCCTGGTCTGGGCGCATACAAGAATTAACCAATGAATGTAGTAATAAGTGGAACAACAAATGGATGTTTCTCCCCCGCACTTTCCTCTCTCTCTTGCTCTAAAGTCAATAAAATAAAAAATAGAGCAGATTGTGCCTACCGCAAGGCGAAGCCAATGTGGTCTTCGAGCCATAAGAATGTCCTACAGAGGAAGATCTCAGACACCGCTTTTTACGTCCAGAGGAGAGGGGTTTCCAAAGACAAGATGCGTTTCCAACGGCAGATGCGTGCTTGCTGGCTGGCAAAACTAACAACACTACTGAATCTTTCTGTGAGATTTGTCCCTGTTGATCAACGGAGAAAAAGAACCCTTTCCTGGCGGGGCCCCAGGCCCACTGCTGGATCAAAACATGCTCTCCCTGAAGCCACTCAGGTCTTGCTTGGACTGTCTTGACTTCTGCCCACCTATGTCCCCCGGGACAGGCTTGTCCTCGGTGCTGAGTACACCCTCCTCCTCTAGTCCTCTCGGCCGTCCTCAAACTCAAAGAGACAATTAACAACATGACTTCCCACTACCGATGAGCACCATGCGGGAAGGAGGGACAGAGTTGCCCTCCTGCAGTGAGATTCCAGGGAGCCACGCGGTCATCTCGGCCAGCCCTTGTCTTTCCCCGACCCACAGCATCATCAGCAGCTCAGGGATGAGCCTACCCAGGATCAGCCCGCGCTCGCCCTCCCCCCACATCCTCCGCAGAGGGGAGAGATCTCAGCTTCTGGACTGGAGGGAAATGACTTAAACTTTTAGCCTGTTACTTTGGCCACAAAATGGTTAAAGTGCCTTCTACTTCATGGGGTCTTTCCATGATTGCAGTGAACGATACATGTGAAGCGCATGTCCTGAAACCTGGTTTTCACTCTTTACTGGCTCTCAGTTGCCCTTCAGACACATCTCTCTTGAGACCAATGAGATTATGGAGTGCTGGCAAAACCACGGCCCCGAAGTGCTCGGTGGCTAAGGCCCCAGGCAGAGGGCTCTGATCAGCAGGGGAAGCCACAGGTGGCTGGATCCCTCTACGGACACTCTACTCAAGGGACTTCCAGCCCAGCAAAAAGGGGACACAGGCAGAGTCCTGGTTCCCAGTGAGCAAGTCGAGGCCCTGGGTGTATGTGTGTGTGGGGGGTGGGTGGCAGGCAGGACTGGTGCGAACTAGAACCGCTGTCCTAACAATTCGAGTGGAAATGGCTCAACACACTCACCAAGTCCCAAGGTCAAAGGCATCACAATTGGGTCTTTGTTTCAGAGTTCGAAAGCCTCACTCACCACTCCTTCCAAAGCCAGCTTGCAGGATGCACAGCACACCTCCCCTCCCCCACCATCCGCCGTCCAGCTTCCTCGAACTGGGAAACCACCCACCCAGGGATCTGTAGTTTGGCCTTCTTCCTTTCTCCCCTCCACCCACTTCGCTTCTCTGGTTAAGCTGGTTGTACAGTCCAGGCCTCCTGGTTTTTAACGGCAGCAGATAATGTGGGTTTGCACGGTAAACACAGCACGGCACGGCCCCTGTGTAAACATCTGCTCTGAGCAGCCGTCTCCACCAAGGGTAAAGGTACAAAACCCAGAGAAGTGGAAAAGCCATGTGCCGGAAAGCTCTCCCAACCTGACACCCAGCCATGGAATTCAGACCCCGGACAGGGCTCACAGAGGTCATCTTCTCCAGGTCCTGCTTCTGAGCAGCCTCCTGGTTATCTCTAACTTACTGAAGGGACAACTGAGGCTCAGAGAATAAGGGACTTGAACCCACCCCGCCAGCAGGTGGTGGAACCCTGCTTCCAGGGACAGAGCTCCCTTGCGGGGGCGGGGTGGGGGGGGCAGCAGTGTATCAGATGGGGCTGCTCCAGGGAGTCAGGAGGCCTGAGACCTTCAAACAGTCACCCGGACTCATCAGAAGAGTAGACCCCTCTATGCCTTCTCCAGGCCTCACCCAGAACCCCCACTTTGCCCACCCGCTTCTTGCTCTGCTCTGGGGAAGGACTCTCAGTGTTCCCAGGGTGCGGGATGTGGGCTGGGACGGCGGAGGACACCCCGTCCCTGGGCCTCAGGGAGTGGTCTCCCGTGCAGCAGGCTGACTCCCTTCTGTTTGGGGTCTCATCAGGAGCCATCCCGCTAGTGGCTGGTACCTACTCCTCCTGTGGCTCCAAGGCAGTGAGGTGGCAGAAGGGTCCCTAAGCCAGAACTCAACTTCTGAGCAGACTTGACCTTATACGGAGAAGCGGGCCTGCCTTTCTTTGGAGCAAGCTCCAAAACAAACATCTCTCCCTCCTCAGCTGGTGTCTCCAATTCCACCAGTACAGATCCCCTCCTTTGGGTGGTTAGGGTTTCCAGAGCCAGGTCCCTGTGACAATGCAGCTTCCCTGGGGCGGGGGGCAGGGGAGGGGAGGTAGGACTGGTACAGGGACAAAAGCTGAAGGCAAAACTGCAGAAAGGAGACCCGTGGGGGCACCAGGGGTGAGAGGCCCAGGTTTTACACTAGAGATGTGCCTGCCGGCGGTGGCTACAGGCCCAAAGGCAGAATCTGACCTCCCTGTGAAGGGAACGGGCCTCGAAGACCCCAAACCCAGGAGGAGTCATGAGTCAGGTCTATGCTGGCATCACAGCCTAAGTGCCCCTCCCCCAGGAGGCCCGCCAGGATTTTCTCAGCATCCCTACAGCTACTTGCTGCTCACAAGCAGGGGACTCGGGGACCCGGGAATATTCCGGTTCTGTTCTGCTTTTGACCTCAGATGACTCATCCCCCTCAAATTTTCTGCGTGTCAGTTAATCTACAAAATGGGTACAGTCATCCCTTGGTCTGCCTTCCTTTCGGAGCTCAGAATATTGGAAGGGAAGTGAGTGGGACAGGAAAAAGGGAATAGGCCCCTCCTCCAGGAGTATCCTCCAAACCCATCCCAGAGAGGCTCCCGTGCATGGTCCTTCCCTTGCAGCAAACCGAAACCAAAACAGAGCCAATTCAAGCCAGCAGACTCCGGGCAGGCTTCTGGAGAGTGTCCTGGGCCAGTCGTCCTGGCCCTGCTGGGGGCCATACGGGTCTGTACTCAAACTGGCCTCTGCTCTCCACCTACAGAGACTCCTGTGCCCAGGGCACTTAGGCACTTGGGTCCACTGGGCAAGGACCTGGGGACCAGCGGCCCCCTGAATGGCCTCAGTCAAGACAAAGCCTCAGCCCCCAATGACAGGGTGGCTGCGGCAGGACCCTCCCTAGCCCCAGGACCTGGCCTCACCCCCCTGTCTGGGCCCTCTTCCCAGGTCCTGGCAGCCTGCAGCTCAGCGGGAGGCAGTCGGCTCACTGCTCAGACACCAGCCAACCCCCACAGGCCGGGCCCTTCCCCAGACCACACGCCAGGGGCCCGAGGCCCCTGGACCCCACAGTGACGTCATGGCCAGCCTGCCTCCCCCCAGCCCTGCCTGGACCCTGGCTGCTAATGGGACCCTGTGGGGCAAGCTGCTGTCCGGTGTCCCTGAGCCAGGAGCTGCCTTCCCCAGGGGCCTCAAAGGACTCGGGGACCCTGAGCGTGGGCTGGAGAGTGACACCCATGCTGCCACCCTGGCCTTGCAGTAACGCAAGCCGGTTAATCACCCTGAGCGGTGGAGGCATTCTTCCACCACCAGGCAAACTGCTGGCCTGTAGCCCAAACCAACAGGGGAAACTTCAGCCTCCTCAGCCCTCTCCCTGCCAGATGGAAATAACGTATAGCTGCAGAGGTGGGGGAGGAGGAAGGGAACAAAAACCAGCCATCCGTCCAAGGAGCTGGGCTGGAGCCCCGAGTGGCCGGCCGGGACACTCACCGCTTTCATTCTTCTCAATGACATCCACCACCTCCCCGGCCTGGAGGCTCAGCTCCGAGTTCTCCTGCTTCTTATAGTTGGACACCACCACGTACTGTTCCAGGATCATGGGCTCGGCGCTGGTGTCGGCACCTGGCGAGGGCAGAAAGCACGCGGTGAGCCAGCGGCCAGCCATGGCCCCGCGGCCGGGGCGCCCCCTGTCCATCGGCCTCGGGGGAGGCTGCTCTGTCGCCAGCGCCGCTCCGAGGGGCTGCCCGCAGCCAGGGTTCGCGGCTCGCTGGGCCCCAAGGACAGGCCATATAGCAAGGCCCCGCACCGGCCCGCTGCGCCGCGGGGGCCGGGGGACATGGGGAGCCAGGGGGCAGAGGGAGGATGCGGGCAGGAGAGGGACAGACAGAGACGGGGGAAACTCAGAGGAAAAGCCTGCTGCTGAGAGGAGTTAGTCACAGCCCAGCACGAGGGAGGCAGAGGAGAGGCCTGGGGCGGACGTGGTCTCTCCAGACCCCTCGGCGACAGGGGTGCGAGGGGAGGGCTGCGGGTGGGCGGCCCATGAGGGCTGAGGCCGGAGCAGAGGAGAGAGAGAAAGGCAAGGCGAGGAGGAGGGCTCCTGCCTCTCCCCCAAGCTCTGTAAACCCAGAGAAAGAGAGTCAGCAGTCCTCCCCTCAGGAGGGAGAGGGAGAGAGCGGGAGAGACCGTCTCCGCAGCCTGGGCCCAGGCGAGAAGTCAAGAAGGTTTGAGGCCGCCAATCACTGGGGTTTACTTGCAACCCTTAAATAGAAACACATGAGACCCATCGAATGAGGAGCCGGGGGTGGAGGCAGGGGAGGGGGAGGAGGGCCGAGACTGTTTACTTGAAACCCAAGAAGAAAGCCAGCCGCAGGCCAGCCCAGCTCTCGCCCCCCCTCCTGCAACTTTTCCTCAAGTTCGGCTCCTTGCCTGCCCCGTGGGCTCAGCAGGGTGCTGCCACCGAGCCCAGGGCCTGGCACACGTGGAGCGGCCTCAGGCTGGCTCTCCCAGACCTGCTTCTGGAGGGGGCCCTGGCCTGACCTGGCTGCTGCCCACTGGCTACCGGGAGGCTGACTCAGTCTCCCTTTGCCTCTCCGCCTTGGGGTGTGTAGTCAGGCTCCCAGGAGCCCGCAGCCGCCCTTTTCTGGCAGTTTCATGGAGCGTGAGGGGTCAAGAGGTGGGGCTTAACAGGAGGGCAGGCTCGCAAAGAGCAGGCAACGTCTCTGTCCTCCTCAGCCACGGGACCAGTGCAACACTCACTAAGCAAGCGCCGAACTAGAAGGTGGACAGACAGGCTGCCCATCTCGGTTCACTGGCTGTGTGGCACTGAACATGCTGCTTAAACCTCCCTGTGCTTCACCAGCACCATCACCATCACTGGGATGGAGGTGGGGAAAAACACCAAAGACATCCCACGCCCTGCAAGGAGCTCAGAGGATCCACAAACCAGAGTCCCACGGGTCACCTCCCACCGGAGGCCCCCCCAGACCACAGGGAATTCCTAGCACCCTTCTCAAACGATGCCTCTCCAACTCGATGCCTCTGCCAGTCTCCTGGAAGCAGTGGGCTTCACGCCACCAGTCTGGCTATAGAAACATCTAGAGGGTTCCGGGCTCCACACGGCCCCCTTGGTGCTTCAGCCTGCAGCCGCATTCCCTGTTTGCTTGAGGCTGACGCAGCCGGTGTTCCATGCAGGCTCGGACACCGTCCCCTGCCACCCTACCGATGACTGTCTCAGCATGTCACCACACACAGGGCAGCTCAGAGGCCCGGAGAAGCCCAGAGGCTGGTCCTGGCTCACGGAGCTGCTAAGGGTGAACCAAGTCCTCTGTGTCTTAGGCTCAAGCCCATCTCTTTGGATTACAGAACGGCCTCCTCTGTTTTCACACGTCCCGGCCTTCTAGCACAGCGACCCTCAACTCGGTCCCACAAAACCGCCCAGGGAGCCTTTAAATGGGACAGGTGCCTGGGCCCTACCCCCAGAGATCCAGATTCAACTGGTCTGGGGGGTGTTTTAGACACCCCACCTTCTCCTGTGGATCTTGCTTACAGCCGGGTGCGGGGGGGGGGGGGGTGCGGGGAGAAGCACTGTTTAGATCTTGGGGCCTCTCCGTGGCCGAGGATCTATCCAACCGAGGGTGGGGGCAACAAAGGGGAAAGAAACCCACCGCCCCTGGCAGTTGTCTACCACCAGGCGTGGACCCCACAACGCCCACTCAGCCCCTTGCAGAGCCCGGAGGGACCCTATCCCAGCTCAGGCCTGCCGCAGGGACACGCACGCGCATAGCCTAGGAGAGCCGTTCAGGCAGGAACGTGACCCACAGCTGGGCAGCAAGGCCAGCCCGGCTCTGCACTCAGACACAGCCGGCACTGCACCCGCTGCCCCTAGGACAGGCGCAGCGCTGGGCACAGTGCTGACAGAGACCGCCTCCCGCTGGGCCCCTGGGGGACCATCAGTGCTTCTGCGGCTAAGACCATTTCCTAAGTGCACCCAGCACGAACAGGAGCTCCCTTTCCACTTTATGGGGAAGGAAAACTCAAGATACAGACAGAAGAGGAGTTCCCCAGCAGCAGGTTACACAGCTGCCAAGTCCTGGAGCCCCCCGGTTACCCCAGAGAACGACTCATAAGCCTCATCAGGGCTCACATGTGGGCAGCATTATGCCAAGCGCCGACCACACCATCCCACGGTCTGGGTTGACCCCCACAACAACCCTTTGCGGTAGGTCTTGTTTCAGCCCCATTTTACACACAGGCAGACTGAGGCTCGTGAGAGAAAGTAATTTTCCTAACGTCACATGACTGGGATTGAGCCCAAGCCCAAATGACACTGGAGCTTGTGTCTTGAACTTATGCACGGTGCCTGGCCCACACAGAGAGCCCCCGTGATCCCTGGTTTCCAAGGGGGGGCCCTGCTTTATGCTGCCTCCAGGCACCTGGCACACAGTTGGTGCTTAAGACAGACTGGAATGTGGGTTCCTTGTTGACTCTTGCCACACTGACCAGACCACGGTGCCCATTTAGGCGGTCGGTACCGAGTGTTTGTACAAGGAATGAACGGGCAGACAGATGAATAAAGTGACTTAAGGGTTTGTTTGGAGCCAACACAGATAAACCAGGTAGAGCCTCACTTCTGAACTGTGGGAACACCAGACAACTAAACCGAGGAAGGGAGAAAGGGGAGGCGGGAAACAGAGGCACAGAGGGGCGAGGGGCCGGACGCTGCCAGAGAGGACGAGCGGGGTGCTGGGGAACGGAGAGACGTCAGCTCACTGCAGTCCACGCCAAGGAAATCTGAGACACAATTTCAAAGAGGGGAAAAAGTCTCCATGCTCCTTCCCCCCAGCCCCTCAGAACACTGGCCTGAGCCTGAAGACCAGCTCTCCGGGACACAGGTAGAAAAGTTAAGGAAGTGCTCTCCCAGAGCACAGAAGACAGGCGGTGGCACTCCTGGGAGGCTACTCCGAAGGCTGGGGGATGGACAGATGGACACACAGACACTCTGCCCTCCCCGCCCCCAGCACATGCAGGCTCCCAGCTTGCTCACTCTGGCACCTGCCCCTTAGTGTTTTGCCTGCCCAGGGTGGCCCGGGTGGGTGTGAACGGGGAGCAGGTATCTGGATGAGAAACCACTCGGCGGGCGGGCCGGCCGGTGGGTGATGTCATCCCTCAGAGGCTGGATCCCCTCCCAGCCAAGGCCTGGAAAATCAGGGGCTGAAGGAGTTGGCCCCAGGGAGGGGGAGGGGCAGGGGAAGCAGACTCCTGTCTTCCCATGGAAAGGGTTTGGCAGAGGCATGGAAACGGGTTGGACCCTTCTGGGGAGGAGAGCTCCTCCCAGGGTGGAAGGGAGCTTTGTAAGAGTCTCACCCAGAAATGGGCCCTGGCGCCTTCCTCAGAGCCCCTGGCTCGACCTGCTGGGGCCCCGGCAGCTCCCGGGCTCTGCCCCACCCCCACCGCACACCTGTGCTCCTCCAGCTACCACCTGGATGGACCCCTGGCTCCTGCCCAGTCCTGGCTGCCAACTCAAACTTCTAAACGAGGCTTTTGCCAAGCCAGCCCGCTGCTCCAACACCTTCAGTGGCTCCCTGTGGCCCGTAGAATAAGGGCCAAATTCAAGTTCAGTCTTCCTTGACAATCTGAACTGCACCAGTTCCCCGTCACACCACCTCCTATTCCAGGCAACGTTCATCGTTCATTGTTCCCCCGCGTACGCCTCGGGCGTCGCCCTGCGCCAGACACACTGACCTCGCAGGTTCTTCTCTCCAAGCCTTTGCCGTAGCTGGTAGCTGTTCCCCCGTCCCGGCCTGCCTTCCTTTCTACCAGCCCCCACGTGCCCCACCTGCCTCTGCCCGCCCGGAGCTGCCTGATCGCTCCAGCTGGACTGCCTGTGCCCGTCCTGCACTGAATTTCCCGTGGGGCACTGTTGCCCAGCCAGACCCCGTGCTTCAGACAAAGGTCTCCCTGACGAGAGCAGGTGCCCCAGGACTGGTGCCCCAGGACACGGCACCGGACGCAGCAGTTGCCTGAGATGCTCGGTGCAAACGCACACGGAGCCTGAGGGTCTGAGGTCCAGGCCTGCCCTGGACCCACTAGCTCTGGGACCCTGGCGGGGCACTGAGCCCCTCTGAGTTTTGGCTTCCTCGTCTGTAAGCAGGAAGAGTGACAGTACCCACCTCACAGTGCTGTTCCAAGCACGGTATGAGGTGATGGGGTTAATGTTCTACGTTAACTGTAAACAATATTCACAAAGCAAATAGCAGGGGAGACTTGGGGAGCAAGCAGCAGGGGTTTAGGTTCCTCTGCAGCCTCAGAACCAGCAGGCATCGCAAGGCAAGGGCTGCAGGCACCGGGAGAGGGTGGCTGAGGCTGTGCCCTGGAGCAGGACCTTCCTGGCAGGCAGCAGGCACTTGCCCTTTGGAGAGGCAGATCAGGGCCCCCAGGCCCGCTCTAGGGGGAGGGGTACCAGGGGAAGCAACCCGAAGACTCTCACCTTCAAGGGTCCCAGCATCAGCCCTTACCTCTGAGTTTCCTGTCTCATCAAACACTCCAACATCCTAGATGGGGAAACCAAGGCCCAGAGAGACCTGGTGACTCACCCAAGACTCCGACCCTAGACTCCTCGTCTGGCTGGCTTCCCCGGGCCCACTACTGCCACCCTCAGGCTCTCGCTCCCAACAGCCGGGGTCTTCCTGAGGAGCTAAGCCCTGAGGTGGCCCCTGCCCCACACCCCCACACGATCTGTGACTGTCCCCCCCCCAAACACTGGGCATCCCACCAAAGTCCCTCCATCCCTCACAACTGGTTCCTCCCAGGCCAGACTCAGCCTGCCGGCTTCTCCGCAGGCCCTTGGACAGCCAGGCTATACGTTTGGTGAATAAAATGTATTGTTGTGGGCCAAGTGGGCTCTGGCTCACTGGCTCGAGGAGAGGGGAAAAAGGGACAGGAGCCCAGTTATTAGCTCAGGCCCAGGCCCTCGTCAGAGGCAACACCAGAAGAAGGACTGCTGTGGCCTTGGGTCAGGCAAGGGGTCTATCTTCCTGACTGCTGCCTCCTGCTCTGGTCCCCCCTCTCAGAATGCCCACCTCCTAGTCTCTGCCCACGGCTGTGGTCTGGAGGGTCTCAGCCTGGGGCTCTGATCCCTGGGACTGGCCCAGCTCCCTCTGACCTCTGACCCTTCTGCCTTGTTCCCCAATCTCTAAGGCTGGACCCCTGCTCTCAGGTTTGGGCTGGGGAAGTGGGGGCGGGGGGTCAGGTAGCACTCTCAGAAATGGAGGGGCTCACCCTGGCTGGTGTGGCTCAATGGATTGAGCACTGGCCTGCAAACCAAAGGGTCGCCAGTTCGATTTCCAGTTAAGGCACATGCCTGGGTTGTGGGCCAAGTCCCACTAAGGGGTGCACAACAGGCAAACACACAGTGATGTTTCTCTCCCTCTCTTTCTCCCTTCTTCCCCTTCTCTAAAAATAAATAAATACATAAAATCTTAAAAAAAAGAAAAGAAAAGAAAAGAAAAAGAAACGGAGGGGCTCCTAGAAAAGCCTCCTGGAAATCCAACTATCTGCCTGCCACAATCTCCCTCTAGCAGCTGAGAACCCTGCTGTCCAGGTTTTTCTGCAATTGTCCAGGAAGTTCAAAAACTAAAAGCAAGCAAGCCCCTGACCCACGGCCCAGCTCTGCCCATTAAGACACAGGGCACAGGCCCATGTCTCTGGGGCCCATCCTGGGCCTGACAGCCCAAAGCCTGGGAAGCCCCCTGTAGCCAGATGCAGCTCCCGGCTCTGCACCCCTAGGGCATGGGGGTGGTGACCTCCGCCACAGCCTGGGGACTCCCCAGGCCCGCTGCAGCTCCCTGCAGCGCTCCAGTGTGGACGCCTGGGAACCAGGCTTCTGCGCTCTGCCTTGAGGTCACTGCCTGCCTGGAGGGAGATTAACAATGCTTGTGGCCCATTTCACGGGGCGGGGGTGGGGGCAGAATTGAGTTCACTGTCCCCCCATGAGGTGGCAGCTAAATACCCCAGCCAAGGCAGCACAGCCCAGGACGCAGCAGAGCTGGGATTCAAACCCACACGCTCTAGGTCCGGAGCGCATTTGCTTACACACTGAGCTGTGTGGTCGCTGCCCATCAGAAGGCTCCAAGGCTGGATCTGAGACCTAAAAAGGGTCAAAAGACAGGCAGAGAGTACAGGCAGCAGAGGAGCAAGGGAAGGCAGAGAGGATGCCGGGCGTGCTGACAAATGGCCACTACGCAGCTCAGGGAAGCACATGGCAAGGGGCCGGCAGCACCGGCTCCCACACACAGATGCCTGGAACGCACATGTTCACACACATGCACTCACATGCACACTGGGCAGTACCTGTCACGTCCTTTTTGGGAGACTCGGCCCAGCTGGAGAGCCACACTTCCAAGTCCCCGAGAGCAAGCAGCAACAGGAGAGGAGAATCAGAGGAGAGAGAACCGTTAGGCAGGCAGGAGGTCCCCCGGGCAAGTGGCGAGTGGCGTGAGTGGCTTCGGGCACCAGTAGAGCTGCCAGCGGAAGGTGGGGGAGGGGAGGGGAGTGATTTCCTGGCCGTGGGCGGGCTGCTGGGCGTGGGCTGGAGTGATTACACAGGCGCTGGGACAGGGCCGGCCGGGGCAGGGATAATGAGGTGTCTGCCGAAACGCAGGCGTCCTTTGGAGCTCAGAGAAGCCCACACAATCCTTGCTTGGAACAGGGCCCGTGGGTTACTACTGCCCTGGAGAAGGCAGGCCGGACCTTCCTCTCTGGCCATGTGGGTGGCTGGCCCCACAGGGCTCGGTGGCTCCAAGGGTCCTTGCCAGGCCAGCAGGCTCAGCAGCAGAAACCTGGCGCTTCCAACATCAGGGCTGGGGAGCCCAAGGCCACCTCCCAGCTTGGGGCACCACGCCACGGGGCCTCGGTGTCTTCTCTCGCCCTTGCCCCAGCCCCACGCTCTCAGGAGGAAAGATAGGCCCTGGCAGAGTGGGGAGACGCCTCATTTTAGAGTCTCACACCTCAACTCCAACCCAGAAGGACAGGGACCTTCAGTGACCAGAGGAGATGAGGGCCCTACTCCAGGCTCAGAAGTCATGTCTGACCCGGGCCTCAGTTTCCTCATCTGTGAAATGAGGCTAACAGTTGTCCTCCTGCCGAGAGAGAGAAGCGAAGTCACAGCACCTCAAACAACCTGTGGCCATGAGATATGATGTAGTGACGTTATGAGGAGGAAAGCTCTTAGCTGAATCAACGGTGTGAACATTTCTAGAGGGTCAGCAGGTAATAAACACCGACATTCTGCTCCTGGTGGGCAGCAACTCGGTTACTCCCCCGGACAACCCCTTGACATGGGTGTGCATTTTCCCACTCCATTTTACAGGGGCAGAATGCGAGTTCAGACAGGGGCAGCCACCAGCCCACGTTCCCGCAATCACAGAGTGGCAGAGCCGGAAATGGAACCTGGCCTGGGAACACCCGGGTGGGGGGGCGGGGGGGTGGCTTTCTCTGCTGAACTTCTCACCCCTTCCCACGGGGCACAGTGCTGCCTGCGGTAGGGACGCCGCGGAGGAAACACTGAGGTGCAAGTTGAGATGCAAACCCTCGCTCGAACGCTGAGACGCAAACCCTTGTTTGAACACTGAGACGCAAACCCTTGTGCTGCCTGGACAGCACTGGCCAGGACTGTTCCCTGACCCCATGACAAAGAGGAATCATAATCACAAGAGCAGCAGACATTTCACGGCATTTACTGCACACTGAGCATCATGCTGAGCACTTACGCATAATAACTCACTTGTTTTTCACAATAACCTGCAACGTTAAGGTATTCCCTCCGTTTTATAGATGGCAGAAATGAACTAGAGAGGTTCAGTAACCTGTCTGAGGTCACACAGCTAATACAGCATCAGCCTCTTGTGGGGACACAGACCTCAGGGGATCGGTTTGCCACTCACTATTTAAAGCCCCTAACTCTCCCTTACCCAGCAGGCTGGCTCCCCGCAGCTTACAGTTCTGTAAACCAGCTGAGTGGGCCTCTGGTGGGGAGGGCTAGCAAGGCCTCTGGGGTCTGCCTGGATTTAAGACCTCTGGGGTCTGGCCGTCTAGATCCAAATCCAGGCTCTGCTCCTTTGAGGAAGTTACTTAACCTCTCTGAACCTGTTCCCTCACTTGGAAAAATCCAGACGAAACGAGACATTTACCTTCAAGGGTGCTGAGAGGATTGAAAGCATGTGCAGTGAGTGTGCAGCACGGTGCCTAGTACACAGTCAGTGCTCAGTGACTGCTGGCCACCGTCTGCCATGAGCTTGGTTCAATCAGCCAGCAACAATCCCATTCTGCCAGCTGCGAGGGTGAGAACCAAGCAGTGCTCACACTGGATGCACGAGAAAATGCCGGCCCCTGTCAGGTGGCTCCCCAAAGGTGGCCCCGGACATCAGGTCAGTTGGAATGGGGGTAGAGGGACACCAGGGGAATGCACCCAGAGACAAACATTCTGTGGCCAGAGCCTCCCACCGGCCTGGCAGCAGGAAGCCTCCTCGGGCAGAAGGAGCTAGGGGGCCCTGCCTTCCTGCCCGGTTGGGCTGAGATGAGCTAGATGCACCTGGGCCCTGTAGGGCTTTGAGCTGAGTTGGCCAAGTGGGCCTGAGTTCGGATGAGGGACTCCATGCTCACTGCCACATCTGGCTGGGGCTGTCACTTCTTGCCGTCTTACCCCAGATGTGGCCCCATGGGCCTCCCCCCAGCAAGGCCGTGCCAGGCCCGCCCCAACCCCATCTGGCCCCACCACGCCCTGTGCCAGTCCAGCTAGGAGGCTGCCCACATCTCTCTCCATCTCCGCTGGCTTTGTTCTTTCGCACACCTTCCTTTGGGGTTTCTTGTGGGTCCTTCAGAAGAAAACCTTTTGGGAAGTGCGAACCCCTTTTGGTGAGCCAAGGGAAATTATTTGGCTTGGACCTGGAGAAGCCACGAAGACTTGTTCTGCTACAACAGGGGTTGACAAACTTTTCCTGTCAAGGGCCAAAGAATCAGTATTTTAGGCTTTGTGGGCCATGTGGTCTCTATGGAGACTATTCAACCCTGTGAGTGGGCGGTGTGCCAATAAAACTTTATTCACAAAACCGCCTGGTGGGCCAGGCGTGGCCAGTGGTTCGTCAACCCCTGTGCTAGAAGATGACGGCCATTCGAGAGGGGAAAACCCTCCCTAAAGCCCTAGGAGAGAGAAGTGGGGACCCTCAGCCCACAGAGACTAAATGCTCACAAGGTCTTGGCTGCTAGGATAATTTTTCCAAGGATCATTTCCAAGCCTGGCTAGTGTGGCTCAGTTGGTTGGGTGTCATCTTGCAAACTGAAAGGTCACAGGCTTGATTCCCGGTCAGGGCACATGCCCGGGTTGCAGGATCGGCCCCCAGCCGGGATGCTGCAAGAGGCAACTGGTCGCTGTTTCTCTCTCACGTCAATGTTTCGCTCCCTCCATCCCTCCCTTCCCCTCTCTCTAGAACCAATAAAAAAAAAGAATCATTTCAAAGGGTCTGATGCCCTTTGATCTTGGGGTTTGGGCATTTGGGTAGACAGTGGGGATGGACAGCAAACTGAGCCCCTACTAAGTGCACAGCTTGAGCTCCCGCCAACCCCCTTCATTCCCCGCGAGCAGGCCTTTCCCTTCTTGCTCCAAAGGAAAATGGGAAGCAAACCAGAAATGAGCCTGTCTTTTTAAAAGAAAGTCTTCTTAAAACATGATTTATTTCCCAGCCCCCTGGATCCACAGAGTTAATCCAGTTCCACGGTTCCCACCCCCAGTTTTCCCCCTTTGGAGGGCCTTTTCTCCAACCCACCCGAGCAAGCCGTCTCCCAGGGTGGGCAGGGACCCCCTCGGCCACATTACAATGAACAGAGAGCCCCTGGCCTACAAAACCCAGTCCTCGGCCAGGAGGCAGATGAGGTTGCTGGCTCAGGGTTGGGAAAATGGAGAGACAGAGGGATGGGGTGAGGGAGCAAGAGGCAGGCGCAGCCAAGTGAGCAGCTGTGACTGACACAGACCAACTGCTTCCTGCCCTCCCTGTCGTCTCTCCCTCCCTCTCCTCTGGTGCCAGAGCCAAGGGTCCCCCAGACCAGTGTGCCCGTGGAAATCGAGGGGCGTCGGACTGCAAAGCTGCACAACCGATCTCCCTGAGAACCAGCCGTGTGACCTCAGGCAAGCGGCTTGACTTCTCTGGGACTCCGTGCTCACGCTGTGAAATCAAGCGTTTGGGTCCATGGATCTCCAGGGTACTTCTCTGGTGTTCTAGACTCTTCCAGCACGAACCTGCTGGTCCCCATAATACAAGTGCATCACAGCTGAAGAGAATCTTTCCAGAGAAACAGACTGCCTTTCCAGGGAAAACCACTTGAACACATGCTCAATATATGGGAACTCAAGTGAAAAAAGCAAATAATTCAGGAGGGACAGAGGACAGGAAACTGGAGAAAGATTTTTAAAAAAAAATTTTTAAAGGCTTTTAACTTTTTAAAAAAAGATTTTATTTATTTATTTTTAGAGAGGGAAGAGAGGGAGAAAGAGAGAGAGAGAGAGAAACATCAATGTGCAGTTGCTGGGGGCTGTGGCTTGCAACCCAGGCATGTGCCCTGACTGGGAATCAAACCTGCGATGCTTTGGTTCGCAGCCCACGCTCAATCCACTGAGCTACGCCAGCCAGGGCAAGATTTTTTTTTTTAAACCTTGGTTCTTGTGCTTACTCTTTTAGCTCAGAATCTGGGCACTTAGCAAATATCTGAGCCACTTTTCCTTCCATAACACGAGGATAAAAATACCTACCTTGTCTTTGCAGGGTTGTTTTAAGAGTGAAATGGCCTAACGCCTGTGAAAGGTTTTGGAGGGGGACACAGAAGTGGAGTGGATGTCAGGGGCAGAGCTGGTGACTAAGGCAGTGTGTGCCTAGGAGACAGGAGACGTGGAGACAGGGTCCCTCCACTGGCCGCCCCCCCAGTACTTACGTCCCTGCCAAAGCCAGTCCTCTTGGCTTGCAAGACCTGCAAGAATCTAGGCCCAGAGAAAACCAGGTGCCTGAAGGTCCTGGCCTAATACAGTGACCCAAGGACACTTAGATGCCAAACGTGATTGTCATCAGGTCCAGGTGATTATAGGAAGTCGAAGAACAGTACTACAGATAGGTGCCCATGACGCTAAGGCCACTTCCCCCAAATGCGCATGCACCCCAGCACCACATTTAAACACACACACACACACACACACACACACCTGCATAGTTAAGACTCTTATTAGTCCATCATAAAGTTTCTTTTATCTTTGAGTAACTCCAGAGCAGTGAGAATGCAGTTCCATTAACCCAAATCTAGTCCCAAACCATGCTTCCAGGAATCCTTCCCTCCCTGGTGTAAGGCAAGTTCCA